AACAGTTACTAAAAATAGTACCAATTTTTTAAAAAAAATTGTGCAACCTCCTTTGGATATGCCCATAATATAATTTTACATGTTATTTTACTCAGAGAATGAGGCAACTTACCTACATGTAAATAATTTTGTGACTCTGAGAACTGAGTGGTATCTGTAGACATTTGTCAAAGGTCAGCAGTGTCTTTCTTCCATGTGCAAAGGCAAATTATTATAGGAAACGGAATGATGTTGCTTTTGTATTTATTACCCATGTATATCTACCTAAGGGAGGTAAGATAAAATTAGATTTAGATCAAATTTCATTTATAGTAAATGTAATTTCCTTTAATTTGGAAGAGAGTTTCTATTTTTCCTCACTGAAGCATATGGTTTCTCATTGTCAAATGTAAGTTATTTACATTGGACCATATCAAATATACAAACTATTCTTCCTACTTTATATTTGCAATAAAATAACAATATTTTTCTCCAGAGTTCTTCTCTGCCAGTGATATCATTAGTATGTTAGTGCCTTAGCCAGGAACATGGCTTCACTCTACATCTCCCAATTTCTCACCTCCTGAAAGTTACAATCAAGTTAAGCAAAATATTCTTTGACTGGACTTAGGTTCTACCCCCCAGCACCTTCTACCTGGTTTTCAACTTTTTCCTTCCTCCTTGAAGCTATTCTCCACATTGAAATTTTCAAAGCTGTAGTCTACTTGTGTGATGACTTGGACACAAGATCAAAGTTATGAGCCACAAGTTGTACTGCACATATGCCTGCAGCCTGCTGCCCCAGTCTTGTTTACAACATTCTGTCCAATGCTCTTTTCTTTTATCTTTGTCACTGTGCTTCATCCTGTCATGCTGTAGGACACACTGAAGGACTTCCTCTGACATGCTGTGCTTCCTTTACTATTCCTTTGAGCTTTTCTTCAGAAAGCTTCCCTTGGCTACCTGTTCTTCACCTCCCATGTTGTCACAGTCCTTTCTTAGAGCTCAGCTCTGGTATAATTTTACATATTCTAATGTGACCCTTTACAAAACAATTTGAGTTATTATTTAAAATGTATCAAAGTAATAATTGGATTAGGTGGTAGACAGACTGGTTTTCATATAAGTGATCCATGGAAAGATGCAGATTTATAAATATTCTTGAAGTTTAATTGTACAGAACTGCCTATTATTGGAAGAATCTATGGTGGGCATTAGAAGTATATACTTGATTTCAGTTACCTAGTTACCCTGGCTGTGTACCTGGGAATATCTATTAGAATTTTGGGAAACTTTGAAGAAAATTACTTAACAGGATAAACGTTAAATCACATTCTTAGCTTTAAAAAATCATCTCCAGAATGACTTCTCTGGGTTTTGTTGTTACCTTAAGTTTAGACTATTAAAAAGAAACCTATTTCTCAATCTCCTTACTAGCTAAAAATCATATATATTTAGGTTGGCAGAATATTTTATGGTATGTTTAGAAATGGGCTCAGAAGATTTTGTGACCCTTGCACATTTCATGATTTAATTTCCTTTTCAATGCTATACATCTTTCCTGGAGCATTGTAACTATGAATCATGGAAGAAAATTAAGTTGATTCTGTATTATTCAACCCTACAATTTGGCAGTGAGAATATTTTTTTCCTAAAAAATGACTCATTTACAAGGAGACTTTTTGTTAACATGGAAAAGACTTAAATACTTTGAGATGAGGAAAGGGTGGGTATTTATTTGGACCTGCTCATTGCAAAATGGCAAAATTAGTATTGAAAATATTAATTAAAAAAGTGAACATTACCTTTCTATAAAAAATGTACACTTAAAAAAAACAAAACCCAGTAAGCTATTTGAAAAATCTTATCATTTATACTATTTAAGGACATTTTTTTGGTATAGTGTACTCTGCTTGAGTCAACCAATATTGTTATTTTTTCCTTGCACTTCTTGGAAATTATCCTGTGTTGTAATATTCCTTCCCATTAACCTTTATTTAAGTCCAAAATTTGTTTTTCTCCTGGTGATTTTCCCTGGGATCCCCCAGCTTGGTTATGGTTTTGGCTTTGCTTTACTTTGTTTCAAAGCTTACTTCCTCTAACTTCTAAAATAATTATTTTTTGGTACAACTAGTTTTTAAGAATATATTTCATCTAATAAAAAAAAAAAACAATAGCAACCTGATCTCCGTATGTCAGAGGCATTTATGAGTTTTGTATTGCAACACAGCAGAAATAAGGATACTATAAGTACACAGAGACCATGGATACCTTCCACTTAGATCATTGTGACTGTGGAAAGGGTTAAATCTTATCAGTGGTGGCTGTCATCTTGATGGTGACTGTGAAAGATGTGTAATATCATTCTGCAGAAATGTTGCCATCATTTTGCAGTCTTCATTGAGTCTGAAGAAAAGAGTTTATTTATTGAGATCCTATCATCTACTTACAAGTTTACCAGTGATGCCTTTTGTTTCTTTTTAGAAGTGAAAAGAATTATCCTGATTTATGGTAAGAAATTGAGGTTTAATCACTAAGCCAAAATCCCACAGAAAGTAAAGGGAGGAACAAAAATTCAGCCCCCAGTTTTTTTCCATTTTCAAAAATCATTGTCTTTCCACCTCACTTTGCTGCCTCTCAGGACTTGAGGATTTGATGACTGTGCCTGAGGTCACATTATGAGTCAGAGGTGAGCTGGGAACACAATCTAGGCCATTTCTATGTGGCTTTTACCCAACAAAATGTAATGCATCCTATATAATAAATGCATCATATTAATTCTCTCAAGAAAAGAGACAGTGTGATTGCTTTTGATCTTACACAAGATTAACTTTCTAAAAATACAGTAAAACAGATAGGATATTTGGCTTCACTTTTGAAAAAATGTGAAAGAAATATTATGCATTAAGTGTGATCTTTTCAGATGACCAGTCATTTTGATAAATAGCCAATCTCCATGGTAACTTTCTTTTGAGGAATTCTATGAACATTCTTTTCTTTTGGGCACTCAGAATTCTAAGCAATTTAAAAGTATTCTGGCAAACTAACTTCTTTCTGATTATCCATCTATAATATGATATCTGATCCACCAGTAAGCATTTTCTGATATGTTGTAGTCTTGTCAACTCAACAGCTCAACAGCCCCTTACCTTCTGTCCCTCAATTATGTGAAGAATTAAATGGACATGAAGGAAAGAATGCCATTTGATAATAATAAAAAAATCACCATCATCCTGGAAGTTACTAAGTGTGTTTTATAAAGTAAGAAATGGAAGTGTTTATAAAAGGGGAAAACAACAGGCTGAGACTGATCTTTCTGAAACAGACACCAGTAGAACAACAATGACTAGTAAACGGAATATTTGCAAATTTGAGTAAAAAAAAAACTTGGTATCTCTAAAGTTATGGTTAAAAACCTTATAACAGGGCCCTCCCTGGTGGCGCAGTGGGTTAAAGCATAGCACTAAGAAGCTAAAGCCACTTCTGCATGAGTTCGATTCCCGCCTGCCCTGGAGATCCACATGGCGAGGCAGACCTC